AATTATACGAATAATATAGCCTACGGATTCTAACTTTAATTCATTCTTTATGAGCACACTATTAAGAATAAACGTGCAGTATTCTGGGAGTGGTCGAACACATACTTTGTACATCAAAATACGTGACTCGTTGTTATATAAGTTTGGAATTATGCAACCCATAAGACGTTGTGACTTGGAGATCTGTTTCAATACCTGTTCTTTAAACGACAAATCGTAGGAGTATCTAAGTTCTAAGCCCACTACTGTATGTAACTTAGATAACACCTCACCATTTATGGTAAAATCTAAGTCCATTGTTGTATTACCGAAACCTATCCATCCACATTTAGCCGTGTTAAGCTTCAACTGCAATTTCGAGCACCAGATTGGGTACCACTGAAAACTAAGGAGTAGTATACAGTTGTTTTGTCTTATTATGGGACTCAATAGAAATGAGCACCCATGGCCAAAAATTTTTGTTATACGACTCAATCCGAAATTTTACCATTGTTTTCCGATTCAATGGTATTAATGGTCAGACGTTCGCCGTGAGACCCGAAGGGCTCGAACCCTCGTGTGGTTTTGAGTGCACCAATGATGGATCCCACACTCAGACCAAAAGACTGTTACTCTCTTTACTTTAATGTTTCTGTTTTTCTTTACTATGATAAAATCTCAACGTGTCACTTCCATGTCAAAATACAAGTGAAAATTAAAACGTATTGAAAAGAGAATTCAATTAGCTTGATATTTTATCTAATGATTCTGGTTTAATTCAATGATCATTAATAAAGAGTTTTTAAACCAATCAAAAATATGTATACTATGGTTATTCATTTTGAATGATGTAAATATTTAGTAAAAAATCATCAAAATTTCGAATGAATATTTGATAAGATAAAAAATAGTAACCATGTGCAATCAAAAAATAATATCCTTCACATTTATAACTTATTACATGATAAAATATTTTTGGAATCCTTATTCACATAATAATAATTTAATGCTTATTAAGAAATTATTTTTGATTTCAAGAATACTGCTTCTCTTTTGAATAGTATGAAACATAGTATATGAAAATAAAGTATAAAGTATACTTTCCGGATTTATTAATGTACTTTATTAGTTGAATGACATTTGATTATTAAATATTCATTGTAGTTAATGAACATGAATATAATGTCTACATTTAATTTTTTTTTCTTTTCAATAGACTTAATCTTTTACCACAAAAAGTATTATTCAAATCCGATGTTACTAGTTGGCAACCAATCGATGTACCACAACAATTATGAATCTTGAAAAGAAAAAGAAAAACACAGACTAAAACAGAAAAAAACAACAACGATGAAATCATTTTATTGTGATTATATTTCCATTTTCTTCGGTCATATTCACTTTTATCATAACATGACTCTATCCATTCTTTTTTCATATAATCAATGATTGAAACTTGTTATCAATCTAGGTGATCATTAGTTAAATACCAAAAAAAATCAATATAAATGAACCGGTTAGTCGATACTAATTGTTTTGTTCTATGAATTGTAACCAAAATTAAACCTTTTGCTTTTTTTTTGTTGTAATCAAAGTTTCCATGGATTTATTTGAAACGTGATTTCCTCTTTATTTCCATTTGTATACAAAGATGTCACTGATTTGTGTTGAATTTTCTAGTTACCCAGTGTTCTCTTTCTGTTATACTAATCTGTTAATTTGTATTGAGTTAACTTAACCATAATCAATTCATTTTTAGCAGTTGGCTTTCCGCCAATGATAAATATTTTTCAAGAAATAGAATAAACAAATGGGGCATTTATATGTTCTCATTTTTTTTCTACCATATTTAAAAATTACTGTGTATGACAATCAATGTTAAAAATTAGTCTGGCATGTTTTCTTCAAAATCTAAATGATTTGTGTGTATGCCAATCGTTTTTTTTTAAACAAAGAAATGTTAATCGACTTTGGCTTTTGCACAAAAAATGTGTTGTTTTGTTAAAAATTTTGTTTTATATGCAAGAGGAATTCAGTGGTTAAAGTGTTCGATTTTTATCCTCAAAGTAGCAGATCTGTACTTCGAGCGTAAGGAATCGGGTAAGTATCACAAGCTTGCACATTCAAAGCCAAGTATACAAACCTGTACTTGGTTGATTAGATAATAAAAGTCTAAATAAAATAATATGATCTATTTTCGTGGATTCATCAAGTGACTAACGAATAGAATCATCGTCAGTGGCAATATAGAGATACACCGGCCTTTAGTGATGATTAAGATGACTGTTCGCAGAGCAATTCGCTTGACCAATATGATTAGAAAAATACTAATGGAGGATTTGTTGTTGATTATCTAAAGTATTATGAGAAATATTATTTGCTGCACTCACAGTGACTTTTTTGAAAGGAAGATCATTTGAAGTAGATGTAACAAAAAACAATTTCTTTCAACGAAATCCTTATTGACGCCAAGTCAAATGAAACTATTGGTATTCCACTGGATTACAGGGAAATGAGTCACTAATGAGGCTATATATAGTTAACTGGTTACGATTAACAAAAATTATCTAGTTGATCTTCAATCTGTAGTCTACAAAAAGCTTGGGTAATGTAAAGCAGACTAAGGTAGTATTACCAATGAGATAGAAGCATTCAGCATTTAATAATATATAGAGGAGTATTTGTATTATATGTGTACCGAATGTAAACTGGGAATAATTGCAATCTAAATAGATCCATCGATTTAATGGAACAGAAGTAGACCCAACAATATATGTATATATAAGAAACTAGAAAATTCAAAGCGGATGTTATGACCTAGACTTTTTAGCACAGACTATTTTCAATCTCTTTCATTGCTAGACTAGAAAATATTACTACTGTAAAACTGTACTTTAAAAGTCATATCTATTTCAGGTTCTACACTGCTTACAACTGACTGATAATTTAAGGGTATATATAGCAGCTTTAAGATCTGAGTCTTCAGTTCGATCATTTTATCGATTGAAAGTTCTCAATGAGTCCCACACTATTGTCCTGTGCAACAATACATGATATCAATTCAAAACTTTCAAAATCATTGATACAAAGTGATATTTAATTCAAACTGATTGCTTATCATTCACTCTTTTAAAAGAATATATATTCACTTGTATACAAAACCCTAATAGTAATAGAAGTTTCATTTAAATGAATATTATAAACGCAGTCCTGCAAAATGAGAATAATAAGTTAGTGAAAACTAATAACTATAAAAAGGCATTAAAAATAAACAAAAACAAACGAACAGAAAAATAAATCAGAAAATTTATTAAGTGAACAAAGCAAGGCAAAAGGGAGAGAAAATTAGTATTTATGACAATTCGATCGATATGATAATTGTTAATTGTACCATTAACAGTTATTTATAAGAATATACATTTATTATTCTGTATAGATTGATATCATTACTCTGGTTCTCATTAACACACACTCACAACATGAATATCGAGGCAAAAACAAGACAAGGATTTAAGGATAAAGAACGCAATATATATATATATATAAGACCAATAATATCAATAAGTAAAGCAACTCGACACATAAACCATACAAAAAGGAACAAAACAAGAACAAAAAAATGATTAGTCAAAGCAAATATCATTTTTTTTTATCATACTGTAATATGTAATTGGGAAAACAAGAGGGATATGAAAGAATGAACAGAAATACAGGAACAAAGCAGAAAAATATCACGAAAAAGAAGAGAATTATCATTATATTCAGTGTTTTATTCAATACATTATGATAAAGTAATAATAATCGCTAATTAAGCCAGAAATTACATAAACTGCTTAGTTTTATTTTGTTTGCAGAATGTTTCCATAAAAGAAAAAACAATTTAATACAATCAAAGAGAATAATATTGCAAAAAGATTGATCTTATTTAGCTATTATATATAATCATAATTATTTAGTTGATATATACAAAGAAAGAAAAAAGAAGGATAAGAATGACCAGCTAATATTCTTAATTATTCGAAGAAGAAAAAAAACCCGATTATCATTATTACCACTATTAGAAATTTCTGAATAATGTACACAAAAGAACAATTCAATGAGAATAGTAATGGACTAGTTAAGATAAAGTATATATATATATATATATATATATATAAACTGTTTATTAGTTATTAACAAATACATAAAATTAAAATAAATCCATTTTTAAATGACGAAATTACTATGCTCTTTGAAATTGGAGTACAATGATCAAAACCGGAAAGAAAACAAAGTAATATAACAATCATTTAACATTTATATGAATAAATATATAAACACATAAATACATCCAAGGAGAGAAAGGGAGAGATAACATGATGAATATTCTTTCAAGTGAATGAAGTTCATAATAAATGAGAATAGATGGATTACACATTCTTCATAATTCCACTCTTACACCACCACCACTATCACCACCCCGCCGCAAGCTCGAACACTTGGGGAATACTCCAAAAAAAGTTGTGTAGATATTTACAGATGCACAATGTTAATTTAATACAAATCCCATAACAACATGTATGGATATATATATGTAAAAATAAACAAACAGAGAAGAGAGAAATAGATTATTTTATAAAAAGAAAAAAGAGCCCAATAAGATAATAAAATTGAATTAATAATAAAAAAAAAGAAAATTGATGAAAAATTAATTGAATAAAAACTGGAAGATAAAGATACTTAAATTGACGCATAGATACTTGTAAACATGCACAAATATAATTAATTAACTTGTTAATTAGGATTGTATACAAGAGTAACAAAAAATCTATTGACTAGGGTTAGATATCAAAGAACAGACATCTTTTTTTAATTTACTACTCATTTATAATAATAATAGTAATATATCAGATTATAACGGTAATAAATACAAACAATCACAGTAATGTACATGATGAATTTTCTTTTTTGTGGCAAATACAATAGAGATTAATAGTAAATAAAATAATCATAAATGAATAGAGAATAGAGATAGATAATGTTTAAGATTGATCCATATGTAATTTAGCCATATAATCCGATAAATGTGAATTACTAAATCGATAAGCTGCTGTTGTAACTGTTGTTGTTGAAGAGGATGTTGTTGATATAATTTGCGCTTCAACTGATGATGGAATACTACTATCACTTAATTTTCTACTTTTCATTGAACTGAATTCAGTTGATTTATTCATTTCAACTAATTGATGCTCCATGTGAATAGCTTCAGAAAATGACCTATCAAGTTAATTACAGTTGGAAAATAATATTTAAAAAAAATTAACTTTATAAAAAGGTGATTTGACAGAAAAGAAAACGTTTATAAATACAGAATTTATTGTTGATCATTGGAAAGAAAATCCAGTATTGAATTAATAAATTAAGGTGTTAAAATAGCAGTCTATCCATAGTTTCTCAAAAATAAATATATATTTTTAACTTGTAAGTGCTTATATCTTTTTGGTTAACATTGCCGAGGACTGAAAATGACCCGTCTGTTTTAGTTTATGTGCACCTTAAGTAAATCGCTTCAATAACGTTGAATATTGACAAAATTAAGATAATGACTAACAATGGAAAAAAAACTGCGCCTGAAGCCCACCCTCTGAGACTACTGTTGGTCCCAAGCCCGGAAAAAGGAAGAAGGTTGTGCATGGGGTTAGCAACCCCTTACTAAAAAAACGACAACCAGAAAAATAATTCAAACTATTAACATTGGAATAGGTTATACACAATCCATTATCTATTAATGGATTGAATAGGAGAATAACAGAATAATAACTAACTAAACTGTATAGTTTTTAGAATTCTCAACGAAATTAACTTTCATTAATACTAGTATATTAAATCATAATTGAAAAGTATTGCATTCGATCTGCACTAATAAGGACTAGACACGCACGACATTGGTCACCACCCAGTGATCAATCAATTGTGATTACATCTCAGTTCTACAGGAGTTCGGTCGTGGCCCGGATAGCTCAGTGGTAACGTCTCTGACTGTGAAGCTGGATGACATGGGAGCACCAGTTCCCTCAAGATTACAGGTATACCTTGATGACGAGTGTCAATTAGCACGAAACCCGGGTCCAGGGTTTCCTGTCGACTACCTCCTACCACCATCTAGTAATGTCTCACTTTTTTATTTCTATTCTTGAATATATAAATATTATCTAGAAATCTAATCTATCCGAATGCCCTAGATTTATATTGGCAAAAATATTAAGTCATAATTTCTACTTTTAATTGACATAAACAAACAAACAAAACTTTACTACATACAAATTAACAATAACTAATACATAGAATTTAATTTTATATTGTTGCCAGAAAAAAAAACAACCTTAATTGTATAACTAAATTCATTGGTCAGTAATTTTGTTGTTGTTGTTGTTATTGTTGATAGTTCTATTCAACAGTATCATCATGAAAGTTAATCAAATCACCATAAATTCAGTAGAGAAATAGAGTATTTTGAAGCGATACTAATATTACTTATACTTTAAAAGCCAAAAATGTTCTTTTTAAAAAATTAGAAATAATCTGCCGTTACAAAACCAACCTTAGACAATCGATTATTCATAATATATATATATATATATATATATATATATATATTTGTTTGGATCTTATCACTGAGATGTTTAGTATTGAAATTGATCAGTCTCTTTTGCTTGTTTTTTTTCTGGTCACATTGTAATGTTTACTAATTGATGTGCTAAAAAGTATTTGATAATTTTTCCACAATCATTTCTTGGAGAGAATATACGACTTTTTATGGACACTAAATACACCATTAAGTTCACTGATCATTAGAAAATTTGATATTACTTACTACTCAGTAAAGTTTCGGTGTAAACATTTCATATGGTCAATGCTGAGTTTATATATCTATGACATTGGGATTAAGTGAAAAATGTTGTGAAGTCGATTTAGTATAAGTTTATTAAAGATCCTAAATACATTTCGTTAATGAGTCACAATATGTACATGACCTTGCCTTTAACCAAATGAAGACCACGAATTGAACTAAGTTAGACACTTCTTGAAAACCAAGAAACATTGGACAGCTATTTCATCGTAGTATACGATGCTTCAGCACTGTGCACGCACTAGCAGATTAAGAAGTAGAATTAGAACCTTTAAGCGACTAGCTTTGAGAGGAAATTACTGGAGTTCAAGTGACAAGTCTTAGCCAGAGAAATTCTACCATATAAGGTGTGAGACATTCATCCAGTGAAGACAATACCGTGGATTTATTGAAGTTAGAAAAATAAACCGTTAGGAGTTAGTTCAGTGATCTAAATGTTCAGAGCTTTCCATGAGAGCTCAAAGTTCTAGGTGGATGCTCACTGCTGAGGAATCCCTTACTAGGACGAAATAGCTATCAAGTACTTCTTGTTTTTAGGTAGTTGTGTAAATAAACCCTACTGATCGAGCTATTAGTCAATAAATCTATAGATGCTGCTGCATTCATATATAAGTATTCTGATGCTTTATTTACTCCAAACATAAGAGCACCTAACGTAGTATGTCTGTTTGATTAGTACAAAATTGTGAACAAAATATACCTTAATCATTTTAGCTAACACTAACTGACTACGTCCTAAAGTTACGTACCGAAATGCCTATGAATGACAATAGTATTGCGTATCCGATGTTTCTAACACATACAACCAATGACATAACAGAACAAGTAGTCATGAAATACTTGTCAACTAATATAATGTGTTTTTTAGTACCAAAGATCCAAAACAATCGATTTCGACATACCGTATTGACATATCAGACAATCAACACCGTTGAATGCCGGCTCAGTGGTCTAGAGGTTAGGCGTTTACGCGTGAGGACGAAGGTCCTGGGTTCGAGTCCTGCGTGCGGGATCGTGAATGCGCACTGCTCAAGAGTCCCATACTAGGACGAGATGGCCGTCCAGCGATTCTACGTTTTCAATAGTGATCTAGTTTAAACTGACTCACGAATTCAATAATCTCCACAAACCCCAATTCTGATAATAATCAACAATTGTTTAATAATAGACGATAAGATAATTCATAAATATCCATCAAGGTTTTTATATTCACTTACGATATTGTCGGCAGCCTATGCTCCATTGGGAGTAACAGGCGTAAGTAAGTAAGTAAGTAAGTAAGTAAGTAAGTAAGTAAGTAAGTAAGTAAGTAAGTAAGTAAGTAAGTAAGTAAGTAAGTAAGTAAGTAAGTAAGTAAGTAAGTAAGTAAGTAAGTAAGTAAGTAAGTAAGTAAGTAAGTAAGTAAGTAAGTAAGTAAGTAAGTAAGTAAGTAAGTAAGTAAGTAAGTAAGTAAGTAAGTAAGTAAGTAAGTAAGTAAGTAAGTAAGTAAGTAAGTAAGTAAGTAAGTAAGTAAGTAAGTAAGTAAGTAAGTAAGTAAGTAAGTAAGTAAGTAAGTAAGTAAGTAAGTAAGTAAGTAAGTAAGTAAGTAAGTAAGTAAGTAAGTAAGTAAGTAAGTAAGTAAGTAAGTAAGTAAGTAAGTAAGTAAGTAAGTAAGTAAGTAAGTAAGTAAGTAAGTAAGTAAGTAAGTAAGTAAGTAAGTAAGTAAGTAAGTAAGTAAGTAAGTAAGTAAGTAAGTAAGTAAGTAAGTAAGTAAGTAAGTAAGTAAGTAAGTAAGTAAGTAAGTAAGTAAGTAAGTAAGTAAGTAAGTAAGTAAGTAAGTAAGTAAGTAAGTAAGTAAGTAAGTAAGTAAGTAAGTAAGTAAGTAAGTAAGTAAGTAAGTAAGTAAGTAAGTAAGTAAGTAAGTAAGTAAGTAAGTAAGTAAGTAAGTAAGTAAGTAAGTAAGTAAGTAAGTAAGTAAGTAAGTAAGTAAGTAAGTAAGTAAGTAAGTAAGTAAGTAAGTAAGTAAGTAAGTAAGTAAGTAAGTAAGTAAGTAAGTAAGTAAGTAAGTAAGTAAGTAAGTAAGTAAGTAAGTAAGTAAGTAAGTAAGTAAGTAAGTAAGTAAGTAAGTAAGTAAGTAAGTAAGTAAGTAAGTAAGTAAGTAAGTAAGTAAGTAAGTAAGTAAGTAAGTAAGTAAGTAAGTAAGTAAGTAAGTAAGTAAGTAAGTAAGTAAGTAAGTAAGTAAGTAAGTAAGTAAGATATTGACCGGGTATCGGTTATTACAAACTGATGAAATTATTCTGGTGAGTAAAATACTGGTTGCTTTTACTCCAATACAGTCCAACTCAATATAAATGAATATGAATCATTAGGGATGACTTTAAGTTAAAGTGGAGAACAGTTAAAATAAAGCATAGAAAAGCATTTTTGTATCGAGTACTCTGACTTAATCTAACAATACAACCCTAACCAGACTGTAAAATTTATCAGTTTTAAAATCTGATATTTCGAAAATGCCACCTAGTTAGTTTCTTGATCGTTCACCTAACCTCTGATTTAATTCTAAAAATTCTTATCATTTAAAGTTGAACAATACATATAAGTGAATAATCAGTCCTTTGCCAGGCTTTACCATAATATACAGTAATATGGAAGTATAAACATAAGTATACCTAGAAAATATTAAGCCAATCGAAGTAATATATGAGTCAATGATAAGAATGAAAAAGGATAACATGACTGGATATAGAAAATAACATGTATAAATTATTTGTAGGATCATGAATGTATGTACTAGTAGTGAAAAGAATATGCACAGTTTAAAAGAAGCAGTTCAATGTAGGGAGTCAACGAATTCTAAATATAGGCATATAAATATGAAAGCCCTGGACACTCGCTTTTCATCCTCTAAATTTCGCAAATAACGCCCCCACAGCGAGAAAGCAGTGAGTAGGACTTCCCTGGAAGTGGTTGTATATGAGTGGCCATGTGAGAGGATTTCGCGACGGAGAGCTGATTTCCCCCACCCCCAACCGTACAGGGGCTTTTGGTGGTTTTATGACCTTAGACTACTAACTTTTAGCTACAGTGATCAGAGTCTCTTAATATTACGCTTCGGTTATTGCTAATTGTTGATGTTTTTTTATCGTCATTCAATGTAAGGGGATCGTATGTACTTGATGGGTCACTAGCTAACTTTTTCTCTTCCAAATTCTCTCACATGCGACTATTTAACCTTTACCAGGAAAAAAAGCACATGCAGCTAGATATAATATTACCAAAAGTTGAGTGTTTCTATATATACTACTTCAATGTATTGCTCATTTCACCATGAGGTCTTTTACATTTGATTTTACCAATACTTTTAAAATTGTGGAAAGAAATGTTACATTGCCAATCCTAAGAATATTTTCATTGATTCCCTGTTTTAATTCTCTTGTATGCATTAAATTATAGAGGGGAAAAACCTAGAAATGAGTTTACACCAATTATGACTTATTGATTTTCCTCACTGCATTGGCGCGTAATCAATGCATGTACTATACACAATGAAAAGGTACCGCACGTGAAAGAATAACAATAGATTAATGGTCAAGTATTAATGTTTTTATTGTTATACTTCTTGCACGTAGCTCAAATAGTTGTACTTACAACATGTTTCCTTTAAACAAAAAAAGTAAAACACCTAAACAAGTGTGCAAACGTAAGTATTCAGTTGTAAGCCAAACATTTTATGTAAGGGCTGGTCGAAATGAATTAGGTATGGTTGGGTTAGGACCACTTATGATATGTCAGTTGAAAGTCGAGTACTTGAATAAGTACATTAATATCCAATTTCTTAATGTATAACTATTTACTACATACAATATATTGATTTGTTGAATTGTCTATGATTGTGCAGAACTGTATTTCTGAGTGATTAGATTAGTTTTCTTTAAATCTATCTTAATTATAATAATTCTGTTTTCAAGACCCTATAGTAAAAACATACGTAGTTTGGATACATATATTAACAAAAAATATTTATATCTTCCTATGAATGGTGCAGATTGATTGTGGTAAGATGTACAAGTTGCATAATCTTAAAAACGTTCCGGTAACAAATATGCATCAATATTTAAAATTCTTTATCCTCACCACGAAATGGAATAGAATGATAAGTTAAAACAGATTGGTCAAATAGATAGCAAAAGAACTGTCTCATTGAAGAAAAAGTTGCATTCTCTTTAACTTTTTCATATCAGTGGATACACAAATCAAACCGGGCTTATCAAGTTTCTATAGTGTATCAATATGTTATGGCAACTCGGAAGTACATGTAAGAGAGGTGTAATGAGTGACTACGACAGTCAACTTCGCGAATGACATCAACTACATGTATGCTATGCTCAGTCGGAAGGCATATTACTGTAGTGAAGAATTGTTTTCATTAAAGACGATAATTTAGTGCATCATAAGAGTTGATAGTTGACAGTAGAGATATCAGTATTACACAAGTTTGTTCTATATGTACACAAAACTTTGGTAGTGAAACGTTCAGGATCAGGAATTATGAATTACAGGATATTTAATAGGTGTGACAAGCAACATGTAAATAATCGGTACTGATAGCTGTCTTCTTTAGAAAAGAGAAAATAACAATAAAAGCACAACCTATTACTTACATTGCAACATTTTCTTCTGATACATTTGTAAAACATTTCCATCCAGTTTTAGCATGATGTCGAATTGTAGTCATTAAATTAACGACAGCTTCAGGTCTAGGTGGACGAATTAATTCAGAATTTGGTATCCAGTATACAGCATTCATCCATGCTTCTTGAGCGCCATCAATATTTACACATTTATTTGGTTGTTCATTATTCAGTACGGGAATCCAATGTGATTGTGAAGCTGGGAGTAATAATGCATTTACACAAGATGTAATACAATCAGCTACAGTTGAGGGAGAATAACCACCTTCCAGTGCTAAAACTATACGACTGTTTGATATAGACATACACTAGAAAATGAATTGAAAAAGTCATAAAATGAAAAAACCAAAAAAAAACTAATTTAAGGGTTGAATTCATGAGTCAATTGAAGCTAGACCACCATGGAAAACCTAGAAGTATTGGACGGCCGTTTCATCCTATTGTGAGACTCCTCAGTAGTGCGAATCCACGATCCCGCCTCGCGAGACTCGAACCCAGAACCTATCAGTCTCGTGCGCGGGTGCTTAACCATTAGAACACTGAGCCGGCCGGTATCCAACAGTGTTAATGTCTAACTTCAACGAAGAAAATCAAAATTGTTATTTCACTGTTGAATTTTTCTGTGTTATTAATACAGATGATATTATTTAGTAGCTTTATGGAGTGGAATGTATAAGGGCAGGAGTTTATCAAGTTGATTATAAACCGCTTAGGACCCAATCACATAATTTTGTAACATGAATATTGTCTTTAAGTAGAAGTGGTTGAAAATATTGTTGCATTTAACTGATGAATAAAAAAAGCACTTCTACAAATAAAAAAATACATACATGAACTGAGTACTAAGAGATGATTGATACAATGTCGTGGAACTTTCAATAAAAAATGTGATCATCTGATTGTAATTAATAAGGTGATTCATAGTTCCACACTTGTCAAGTTTTGTTGGTCAGTAGAAGGCGGTAGGCAGGAGGAAAGTATATTTGTTGGGAGAATTTACAAGGTACTTATTTAGATAATACCTACACGTAGTCTTCAATTGTCCATTTGCAACTTTTAGGGTTTTGCCAACGTCGTGCTCTCGATGTACTGAAACTCTTCACTCAGTTTGACAATTGTTGCAACTTTGAAACCACGTTCACAAGCGCGTCCTGAATTCCACTGCTAGTCACTATCCATCATTGCTTACAAAAAAGCTTGTGAATTAAGGCAATATCGAGGCATACGCACAGTATGCACATATGCCAATAACAGACTGATCAATTGCAGTCCTTAACCTCAATGGGAAGATACGAGTCAAACAATACCAAGTGAATTTAAATTCACCCCATTGCACAAACGAGTGGCTATCAGGACTCAGTAACTAAGTGGATAACGCAATGGAGTTTGAAGCGAATGGTACTGGGTTCGAGTCTCAGAGTGAACATCAACTCTCTGAGATGCAGGTACATCCAGCAGATGAGTCTCAAATAGGACGAAACGCGCTTCCTGGATTCCACTGCTAGCCACTATCCATCATTGCTTACAAAAAAAATTACGAAGGTTAGTTTCAGGATTCTGGTACTTACAGTCAGTCAACAACAGTAACTTCACTATTGTAACAAACACCTACTCTTCCAGTAAACAACAAAATACATGACACCAATGGATTTATGGTGTCGACTTTAAAGAAAAAACAAAATTACCTGATGCGTAATCCATGCAAATAAACCAGATGATACAGAATAACCGCCTAATGCTTCACCGTGTCCATAAGCAGCGTCATAACCAGCTGAAATCAATATAATATCTGGTTGAAATTCATGTCCGACTGGTATAACAACAGAACGCATTGCAGCTAAATACTCTGCATCACTTAAACCTAATAAAGGTTCTTTCCAAGTACTAGATGACAGTGGTTGATTATGATGTTGATGATGATTATATGCATTCGATACTAATGGTTGGTGATGTATAGGATATTGTTGAAAATGTGAATATGGATGATAAGGTTGACAATTAACTGGATTAGTTTCAGATAATAATAGATCTGATTTATCTGAGCATGATTCAATTGATTGTGATAAACAGAATGAACAAACTTGGCTACTTTCAGTGCTTGTTGCTTTATTAGATAGACAGGTACAAAATGGTGTAAGATCAGAATTTTGCCTATTTCTTATCGATATAGAACGTTGAAATGGTAAAGATGTTGAAGAGGATGATAAAGAATTGTGTTGTTCAGAATTACATTGATTTGAGTAACTCGGATACTGGTGATGATGATCAGATGAACCAATAGTTTTGCACAACTTTTGCTTTGAAAAAATACAATTAGAAGAGACGAAATATTGTATTTTAATAATTCAAAAAAGCATGCATTATCAATAACTTTTTTTGTCAATCACAATAGTACACTGTAATTGTGTAATTCAGAAGAAAGTTGAATGTGAGGCGGAAAGTAGTGAGTTCCAGGTCCCGTCTGACCATTATCACCGGGGTGAGGACACATTCAACTAACAAGTCCTATAGAGAACGAAACTCACGTCCTGGGTTCCACTGCTAGACACTTTCGCTTGCATGTATAAAATTATTGTCACTTAATGGCAATATCAAAGTGATAAGCGCAGGACGAACGTATACTAAAAAAGACTGATCAATCACGGTTCACAAGATCAATGGGGAAATCCAAACTCTGTAGTGTAAACTAATAGGTTAGTGGTTGAATCATTCAACTTTCAGTTAGTAGACCACAGGTTCGAGGCTCATTCCAACTACTTTAATTTAGACAGCCGGGTAACATTTATAACCCCTACATAGAAAGTTGTGACACACATGTGTATAAATAAATGCTTACTTGGGAAATGAGTTGTGATGATTTTGTTTTGGCACCCTAATATACCAAAACCCTCAAACTATTCCGAAATTTGAGAGATTACAATATTACCATTATGTTCAATGAAGAACTTCATTATCTTAGAATTTCATGTTTTATACTATTTTGTATATTGTAATTACATATGTAAAATGATACGAACAACTTACTTTATCCTGTTCCGATCGATTAGCAACATTCTAAAGTGGAAAATAATAAGAAAATATCATTGAAATAAAGTTATATGGTATTTATGAAGTATTATGTTTCAGTGGATAAGAAATACAGTAAGTTAAAATGAAATACTGAAGATTTCTGATTTTAAAGGGAGGATTTTTAGTTGTTTAATATAAATGTAAAGCTGTCATTGGTTTTCCACATATCCCAATCAATAAAACCATACTGATTATAAAAACAATATTTCATTTTCCTCCCAAGAGATTCGTTTTTAAATAAAAAGGATATTGTTTACTTTATAAATTAAATCTTGTTACAATGAGTAAAAATGATGAAAGAACTTATCGACTGTTCTGTGACTATCAATTTTTTAGCAGTGAAATCCAGGACATGCGTTTCATCCTATTTAGGACTGGACAGCTGGACGTACTTACATCCTAGAGTTGATATTCAACGGGAAGATTCAGGCAAACAATATAAAAATGAATTCTCAATTTTATATTTGATTGTTCACTTTTCGTCTGGTAACAAAATCATGTTATCTTTAATGATCATGCTGTCCGCATAAATGACAAATTTCATTCCCTAATAAATACAGTTATTTGGTAAGAGATTCTATCATCTGAAAGTCATTTTGTCAAAGGTTTGGTGAACAAATCTGCGAATGAACAGTTTACTTACTCAAGTAATTTACCGAACTGACCAGGCGGTTATAACACTAGTGTTAGTTTTAATCTCTTCAGGTAATATTAGACTTTATTTGGTGGAAAATTACCATTATATGGGATGATAAGAGAATATTAAAGTTATAATATTATTCCACACCAATAAAAAAAACGTAATTTCCGCAAAAAATGTATAGGAGAACGTTAAAACAAAACCAATTCATTGGTCGTTTTCTGAGAATTAACATTTACCCTGACAATCGTTCATCGATGAAAAATATCAAAAATATGAACAAATTGAGACCAACATCAAGAACGCTTACTTGAAACCATCGTTTCCTTCTTTCATCAGCATTTAAACTATAAGGACTAACAGTGGATGTCGTTGTTGATCGACGTTTCATTTGTGATCTAATTATTTCAGTATAATTATTATCATTTGTACCATTGTGTGGATTTTCCCATGCAATATTTATTAACTGAGCTGATGGAATTATTGTATTGGAAATATCATTGGCAAATTTATTATTGAAATTTATATTTGCCATATAGTTTGCACTATGATCATCGAAATGATTGAATTTTTCTGAGGAAATGTTACTATCAGAAACTGATACAGTAACAGGATTAGTAGAGGTGTGATCACTATCACAAGAATTACTTTGCGAAGATTGATTCTCTTCTGTACAATTAGATACTGAACCAGTACCAGGAAAAAAAGTCCCACCATCATATCTATGCAAACTTAAATAAACTAATCCAGGATGTGTTGTAGCCAGCTTAGTTCCATTGCCATGATGAATGTCCCAATCAAGAATTAAAACTTTTGAAACAATACGCTCACGTAATAAATGCAATGCAGCAATTGCAACAGAATTAAAATAACAAAATCCCATAGCTTGATCTGGTTCAGCATGATGACCAGGTGGGCGAACAATAGCGAATCCATTACGGAAATGACGTTTCGCTACCCTGTAGATGAAATTAGAAAGTAAAAAAGAGTTATGAACAAATTTCTCACCATATTTTTAAATATCTCGATGCTATGCAGTGGTCATTTATCACAGGGTTAAGGATACATTTTAAAGGTCATTTGATTGCTAGCACGTTGCTCACTACTTAGTAATTGGGTTAGAATCTTATAGTATATATACATTCATTGAAAAACTTAATTATTTGTGACAATCAGTAAACAACACATATACTTAACTTGGTTAAGTGTCCAAGTTAGGATTTTCTAGTTAAAATAGAGAACATCCATTTAATTGCAACTATTATCATGATCGCTAGATTATTAATCAATTAAGTAAATATCAGGAAGTGATTTTAAGATATATTTTATAGAAGACAAAACTGAATGCTTTAACTAGAAATTTATAGCAATTCATATAGTTACTAGTAAGATTTTTCATATTTCTGGAATATTCACTTATATATACTGTATATATTCATGACATAACCAACCAAATGAACACTATATCTCAAGTTTCTTCACACTCATTTATGATCAATCTACAAATGTTATACCTTTTCCATCTCAACAAAATGAAATACATACATTCTAACTTGGTAGGATTTTCAATAGTGTTTTTTATATTGTAAACTATGGAAAAGAGTTCAGAGAATAAACTAAAATCCCTTTTTTGTTTCTATCTCATTACACTTATTATTATTTCTTTATCGTTATGTGGAATGTTAGTACACACTAATTTAGCCTAGAATTTTGGTTTAATTTCATTAAAAAGATGAATCCATTTAAAATTTCTACTTTCGTTCGTTATTAGTTATATATATATATATATATATATATATATATATATATATATATGTAGTTTATGCACTACATACATAAATTCAGTAAAGTATAATAAATAATGAATGAAAATAAATATGAATTAGTATAAAAGATACACATATAGTATTAAGAAATCATGTACACATAGGTATTCATTTGATTATTATTTACATAAGTAAATAGAATTACAATGTTATAATGATTGGTATCTAGAATAAAGTGATAGATGAAGAAAATTGTTTGAATTAATATTAATAAGCTTTTAGAAAGAAAAAAAAAGGGTTCATAATGTATTCGATGAAGAAGTGGCTTATTTATTGAAAAAAAAGAAACTTAACTTTTAAACACGCTTTTATTATTATTTAATTTCAGTATGAACAACTGGTGAATAATATGAGTATACGAAAACAAGTATAGTTAAAAGTTAAGTACATGAATCACTACTTCGTTAATGAGTTAAGTAACATTCTCATTATGAATAAAAAAACTAATTGTATAATATATATATAGTAATATATAGCCTGTATATAAATCAAGATCAGAATCTTTAATATGGACGTTAAGACAGTTTTATTGTACAGAGCTGAAACTTGGACAAATAATCCCACCATTATCAGAAAAGAACAAGCGTTTATAAACAACTGTCTAAGCAAGATACTGAATGTTCGTTGGCCGGATACCATTAGCAACAATCTATTGTTGGAGAGATCAAACCAGCTACTACAACTACCTGTAGAGGAAATTAGGAAATGATGTTGGAAATGGATAGGAAACACACTAATGGAATCATCAAGCTGTATCACGAGGCAAACACTAACTTCGAATCCCGAAGGTAAACGGAAAAGAGGTGGGTCAAAGAACAAACTACGTCGAGAATTGGGAGCAGACATCAAAAGAGTGAATATCAACTGGAAACGATTGTGCAGGATAGAGTTGGATGAAAAGTGCTGGTGAGCGGCCTATGTTCCTGGACGTGAGGTAACAGGCGTAAGTAAGTAATGTACGGTATAAACTTTGAGGTTAAGATTACTAAAAGACTATATAACATCGATAATTTATTGCGTGATAAATTTTAATATGTAATTATGGAAAGTTCTAGAATGATTCAAGAAACAATTATTTGCTTATTCTCCAGTATACGTTGCGTAACACTAGGCAGTAACATTTCGACAATCGACGATAATATCAGTAAAATCTGTATCGAAATTTCTGACACAGAAAATTCACCCGACTGACATATGGAATCAAAATTCTAAAGGAATCTTCAACATCACTGTAAATGTTCGATATTCAAAAGGCAGCAACGTCAAGATGTTCCCTGTTGTTCGCAATCCTAGTGGTCACTGACAAATGATCATCATAAGTCTAACGAGGCCAATTTGTCAAATTTAATAGTAGTTACTTCTTATCTTAAGAAAATTATAAAATGGAAACTTGTTTATTATGTAATTGATTTAATATATAGTTCTTCGTTCACTCGTAAATCATGTAATTATGCCATATAATTGATTTTTATCAACGGATTACTATTTACAATCAATCGATCGGACAATGAAGTACCTAGTTTGAATACCTAACATTTATAAAATACAAATAACAAATTAAGGCAAAAAAGGTTGACAATTAACAAAGCCAGTCATTTTATGGCTTACGTCGAAGAGTGTGCGATATGATGCTTGTACTGTATTGGAGAATAGTGGGGTAAAACTTTATTTTTCATGAAAGTAAACCCCGTTTAAATTACTCAAAAAATCTCACAACTTGCTCTGATATGAACAGCATAGGATTTCATGAGTAGAAAATTGACATAAAATCATGAACTGATCAATGTTAGGCGACCATTGAACATCTGGAAGCACTGAACGACCGTTTCATCCTGGTATGGGACTCTAGTGGTTCCAGGTTTTCAATGGTGGTCTAACATTGGTCGGTTTATGATCTCAGTTAAAAGTCAACAATCTCCACAACCCTATACTGAGAAAATTTAGTAGTTAAGTACTGACAAATATTTGGGAGTATACACTATTAAATTCTAGCCACATTAAGCGTATGCTTATTCATGATATACTGGTACCTATGGAACCTCTGACAATGTTATCGAAAGCATATGACGATACCGGAGTACATCATTGACCACACATCAAATTTAAAATTTTTACTACTAATATCTAATATATTCTCTCTTATAACCCAATGAAAAAATCTAATACTATCGATGAATATTCTCATAACTAACTTGATTAAATTACACAGTTTGATATGTCAAGATTCTTTAATTCCACTAAGGATCCCCTCGAACAAGTCAGTAATATTGAATTACAGACAAAAATACAAGTATTAGACTGAAAGTTATGTAATAAATAAAATATAATTAAGGAAAATTTATAATCCAGTACCACAATCAATAAGAAAATACTACAACAGACAAACTCATTTTAACTAATACACTAGTCAGTAAAAAAATGATACATGGTTAGTTAGTTTGCTAGCCCATAGCAAAATTGAATCGCCGTTTATAAATTCTAGGTAGCATAGCTTTCAGTGATTTATTAGTGACTGCCATTTACATGATAACTCTAAAAAAACTGATGACTTTAGATAAGAAAAGTAACCCACTGTGTGTCACTGAATAAAAAGTAAGGCGAACAAAACAAAGAAAATTTTCTTTCCAACAAAATCAATTACTTAATCAGTATATTCATATTTACAGTTGTTTGATGAATATATGGGTCTATAGAAGAATAGAAATAGACTACATCATAAGGTGTTCCGAGATTTTAAGTATCGAAAGCAGGTTCCATAGTGATCGGGAAGTTAGACAAGAATAGAGGGTGGAAATAATTTATGGATTATGAAAAAGAGAGATACTTATCTCGTTAACATACATGAAGGAAAAAATGGGAAAATGTAAAGGTCATAATAACAAGTGAATAACAATCATGGAAAGCTGTTAGAGGATAATAAGAACTGATTACGGTTTTAAAAAAAGTACAAAATAATAACAATGAAAACAAAAAAAACAGAAACGTACTGAAAAAGGGAATTAGGGCCATGAAAGGATCAAAGATTGCATGTATTGCTTTAGCACAAAGAGTTCAGGCTTGAAATTTTGAATTTTGAAACCCTTAGCAATGAACAACTTTTTGGTTTGACTTCGCTTTGATCCCATTCTTTGATTATTTAAATTATTTTGAAAGGTCCTTTTGGGGCAATAAGACAAGAGTTGATTAGGTGCTCCTGTATTGAAATACTGATTGCTTTGCATGGCCCTCTTAAAAGCCATCGTGGGTGATGTTCTGAGATGTACTTGGAAAGCGTTCGTTTGGTGCGGCCAATGTAACCTGTCCCGCAAGAACAGGTAAAATTACAGAAGTAAGTCAATGTAGCTCAGAGCACAAGTTTATCCTCAACGTTTTCTAAAATAGTAGATCGGCTCGAAAATATATTACGAAGCTTAACTGAATAGGAAGTCTTCCTTCGGGATTTCAAAATTCGTTTATTTATTATTTCTGCTATCATATATTTTTAAAATTCGATATTCATACAAGAAGTTTCATTGTGAACTGTCGGTGATCTTTCAGGTTCCAGTCTCTGTGTTAAGTTGCTATCGATGAATCATTCATAACGAATATTTTAAAAATTATCGCAACATTCAGAAATGAAGTCTCTGTTGACAAAGAACCTCGGTCGTTAGAAATGATTGTTTTATTAGATAGTTGTATTGAAACTAAAAATATAGTATACAGAGGAACAGAATAACAATAAAATAATGAACTAACTGATGAGCAAGGCATAAAACTTGACCAACAGCTAAACGAGCAGCACGAGCTGTTCTGCACGGATTCCAAACTGTATCTGAATCTACACCAACACCACCACAAGCTAATGAACATAATTGATTTGATAAACTTGTCGTGGTACATGAATTAAATACTGATAATCCACGATCAATAGTTGTAGATCCACAAGATACAGATAATGATGTAGATTCATTTGAACATTTTGAAGACGGTCGATCATCATTTGAAACAGTGGGAATAGTGCCAAATGTTTGAACATATTCATTTGAATGGAATATTTGTAATTCATTCTGTCAAATGAAAATAATTAATTATACGCTTATACAAAGGAAGAACAAGATGGTAAGACGATGGAATATATAGTCAATATAAAAACGTTACCATTTAAACTTTTTAGGAAATATATTATTATTAAAACACTCAATGAGCTCATAGACTATTATTTCGTAGGCTAAAAGATGTTATGAACGAATATTTTCTTTTAAAAATATGTACTTCTAACCATCGTAAGAAAAGCTTTAAGAGATTCCTTTATCAAAAATTGAATGATAATTTTTTTTGGTGAGATGCAGAATGGCATAATTGATTGTTTAAATTGATATATATATAATGGTAATGTTGAGTTCGCTAAGCTAGGTGGTTCAATAGTGAAAAATCTGAAACGTTTGACAATTTTGAATGTTATCGGATAAAGCCACCTCAACATAACAAACTCATATTACCAAAACAACCACCTGAAAAACCAACTTTTTCCATTATATCCAAAAGGATTATGAAGACAAAGTATAATTTAACATGACTTATATTTGTGATATTCACTTTAACGTAGATGATATATAAACAATGAGTACAGTAAAGTCAATCACCAATTCAAGATAATTTTCTGTTTGGATGACTCGGAATACTTGAAATCAATTTAATGTAATATTTTATTTTACACAGGAGAACGAGTTATTGTATGACTGCACTTTATTTAGAAATGACTATCAATTATATATATATATATATATATATATATATATATATATCATAGAGGTGGCCTAATAGTCAAGGTATTTAACTACTAAGTACCAGGTTTTGACCCCGCTCTGTCTACTTTAGTTCAGGCAACCTAGTGATATCATTAGCCTCCATACCTAGGGTGTGAGCTCATACCCGAATACTTGGTGTTTGAGTTATGGAACATAATCAAAACGCAGTGTTGCATACAGCTATTGTAATTAATGTTGTCTGAATATAATTCCCCTATCTAATATAATATATACACATTTATTCAGAGTAATATCAAAGAAAGTAGGAAATTATTTTTCAAAAAGAATAATGATAATATCCCTATTTTATTAATTCTACCATCTAAGTAGACAACTGTACAATAGAAGAAAATATTTCGGAATAAAAAACAAAAGAATTCAATAAACGATAATAAAAACAACACAAACACACACACACACATGAAAACAGAGTAAAAATAGTCAAGAAATGGGGTTAGCTGAAAGTAAGAAAACTAAACAGGAAATGAGGGCTAAAATACGGTCACTGTGGACACTATATGAAGTAATAATCATAACGTATTGATTAAATAATATTACTCAAATGGTATAATCGGGAAAAATTAAATCCAAGAATACTACAAACCATTTATTGTAAATACTAAGCGAAAATGACAATACAGTGCATACATCTTAGCATATAAATTTGATAATACTAGGTGAAATGAACTAATTGCAAAATTTAATATAACCAACCTCACAGAAGCACATAAAATAAATCAAGTTATACTAAGTTAAACCAGTTATCAACTAGAAAGTATAAAGTGTAAGCTGTCAAAATAGATGAGGATTACAAAAGTATCTGAATCGCTTTACCGTTTTAAAATATCGATGTTATAACCACTACATCTGTTGTAATAGTAAAAATAGTCGTTTGTCTTAATATTGATATGAAAGATGATAAATACTACAATACAATTAATACACTATTCCTAGATTGAAGGATAATACAATTGGGTATAGTAGATCATGATACTAGATATAAGATAATCAGACCACTAGACTAGATCACATTATACACACATACATAATTTTAATCAACCATTAAGATACTGAAAAGTAATGAGTAGATAGAATATCTTTTTTAGGCTAAAGTATGGATTTGAAGTAAATAATTGATTATGATACGTGAAAAGGTGACAATTAGTAAAACTTTAAAGTTACAGTGAATAATAAATCCGATGCGTTTTATGTTCATAAACCATCATTTATAAATGTTTATGATAATTTATATCTAATCGACTGAAACAAATAAGCATTATTGAATTGACTAAATAAAGTTTCTTTATTTTTAATCAACGTATCAAGATTTTTTAAAAAGGAAAATATTTGTAGCTGGTATATACTTCATGCAAATGAAGAGGATTATAGAGAATAATAAAAGTCAATATGATGGATTACATGATTACATTAATAAAAACAGAGATGGTAGATTTATTTTCAGTCTAACTATACGCAAGATACTCAACGTCCGTTGGTCAGATACCATCAACAACAGCCTACTGTGGGAGAAAACAAACCAACTTCTAGATGAAGAGAAAATTAGGAAAAGACGTTGGAAGTAAAAAGGATATACATTGTGGAAATCATCAAATTGCATCACGGAGCAGGTGCTAACTCGGAATCTTGAAGGAAAAATGGATGGAGGAAGACCAAAAAACACACTGGGTCGGGAATACGAAGCAGACATCAAAAGGATGGATAGCAACTGGAAAGGACTACCCGGGATAGAGTTCAATGGAGAATACTGTTGGGCGGCCTATGCTCCTTCACAAGGGATAACAGGTGTAAGTATGTATGGGAAAGATAACAATCACCTTATTTAATTGTTCATTAGTTTATAAAAAAATAGTTCCGGTAGCACTCCAACAATTATGTTTATAAGTCAACGATAGAGAGTGGGAAGGAGAAAATAAATCGACCTACCTTAGGTCAATAAACACCACAAACTAACATTACTCATTAAAGTATGTTCAAATGATATCCTGAGCTTGACAAAACTCGATTTAATGTTGCTCATCAGCTTTTACAACATCACAATTAGATTGGATTAATCAGCCAAAGATGAAAAGACACTATTCTATAAATAATCATAAGGATTATTTATTTATTACAATAAGAAAAACAGACCCATTTCAGCATACTGGTATCATTTCAAAGTGAGTGTACGTTTGAAGCACTATAAGACATCAGCTTCTAAAGTGCGTTAATTTGAAAAGTATTGATCACCTGACTGCCGTATATATATCGATAAGAGAAAGGATACATGAGTTATTATTTACTCAGTACTTTTACGAAAAAAATATAAAAACAAGAAATATATCTAAACATCTTGCATTAATTAAACGAAAAACGTAAGAGATCAATGCTTCCATTTTAAATTAGTGATTTAACAGAAAAAGTGAACTTTTCAAATGATAAACCCATTCTATAGGGTAGCAAATAAGTTATAAAATACAACTGTGAATTTCACAATTTGGAGAAACTACTCTTTCTTTTAGAATATTCTATGAAGAATAGTCTAGGGAACTATTAGATAATTATTAATTTTAATACTGAATGAATTGAATTCAAGATGAAATATACAGAAGACGTATTTTCATGCATATATATATATATATATATATATATATATATATATATATATATATATATATATATATATATATATAAAGTTATTCAACATAAAAACATAATTTACACAAATAAACACTATCACAATTACTAACCTTTGTTGCCATTCGTGCACGAACCAAACGACAAAATGCCAGTAAAGGTAAATGTGTAATTAAAGCTTCTGAAATATCTGCATGATTTTGTAAAAATTGACTGAAATCATGCTGTAGAACAGGCATATCATACAAGACAGTATATTTAAAACTTTCAATTAAATTATTTGATGCATACGACGACATATGTGGAGGTATACAAAGGGGTGTACGAACAAGGCGTTCTAAAGCAGGAGTTAGGCGATCTGGACATTCAGGATGAATACTTGAATCATGAGCATTAGGACAAAGACATTTGTGTTCAAGCATCTCCGGATCAAAGGCGATGGCAGTTACTAAACTGTGATTTGGGATGCTAAAGAACAGGGAAAAAAGAAAAGCATTATGTAGTATAAAACATTTAAAGTTATATATATACACTAATCAAAATACAAATCATGATTTCCCGAAGACTAGTGGATACATTTCAAAATATATTACTTTTCAGTTTCATTCATTTCCAACTACTCAGTGGAAAAGATTAGTGCTGTAATAAATGATAAAAATTTACTCAAATAAAAGTGTGAGAAAGGATAAATTGTATGCTTTAAAAGCCTTACACTAACGTTTCTTTTCAATAATTTTGAAGTTCTCAAGTTCGGAAATGAATTCAAATTCATCACAGAATTTAAAGTTCAAATTCATTTTGAGTAGCGGAACAACACTATTTAACATCAATATTTACGTTGTTTTTATTGTTAACTAAATGAACACAATAACTAATAAGGGTAAGCCATTATATATAATTTTAGGTTGAGGTTTTCGGCAACATTCTAAATTTAAAACAATTAGTCCCTTTGATAAATTTCGATAATGATATTAGAAGACGAAGATTATCAGAACTATGTGATATATTAGCGCAATACATTTCGAACAATCTGGTCACACATACACTTTTTAAGAGCATTTATATATATATAAAATAAAAGATCAACTAGACAGGAAACGGGGTATTACTAAACATATAATTGAAACAGATCACTAGATCGATCTAAATTCAGCTTTCGTAGTGTTGTATAAAAGTGTAAAAGGGCGTATACTAAGGTTTATTGAAGCCTTAGCCATACGAAAATTCAAACTCCCTTTGTGTGTTCAAAAACAGTTTGTTCTTACCTTAAACCTACCCTGGTAACATTGACTTATTATCCAGAGTGATTAGGTTTCAAATTGTGTTCACATTATTATTATTATTACTCTTATCATTATCCTTATCTCCTCGTACCCCGTTTCCTGTCTAGTTGACCTTTTATTTTTATATATAAATGCTCTTAACAAGTATATGTGTGACCAGATTGTTCGAAATGTATTGCGCTAATATATCACATAGTTCTGATAATCTTCGTTTTCTAATATCATTATCGAAACATTCTAAATATTCCTTAAACGCATCGCGATCAGCACTTTCCATCATTTCACCTTTCATCTAGTGAACCAGTGCTGTATATTAGAGAATAATATTCATTAAAGACGTCATATCAAGCTCTAATTTTTACTAATATTCACATACTAATGGTATTGCAATTTTCAATGATGTTATCTATGAGAAGACGGGATTGCTCTATCGAAATTGCTTTAGATGTTATCTATGTAAGTGTGTGTTAAAAAGAAATATATTTTTTTGTAGAAAAATAACTATGATGAAGTAGACAGAATGTGCAGATTTTTAAGTAACCTTTACCAGCTTTGTATTTCATTAAAAATGAGTAATATTTTACAAACCACTGGTCAACAATTCATAAAACTAATGAAGTACTGACAACATCCTCAAGAATAACATGCATATATTCATAATTGGTTCTGAAAATCAGAGAAATATAGAATTCTGTCATGTATATTGGACTTAACATCTACAGATTGTAAGAACAAGTAGTTTGGAAAATGGCAATTCAGTAGTACAGATAACTACTTGTAAGGGTTTCTATCCCCCTTATTGATACACAGATCTGAAGAACAAGTTACAATTTTATAAAATTTAAACAAATAAATCTTCAACCGCCACCCCACCCCTGCCCAAAAAAAGAAACGAAGCAAAAAAGCAGTCGAACCAACTTGGGATAACAAGTTGTTTTCATGTCTGCATGATAACTCTGAGAAAGCCAATCACTTTCGGGTAGAGCAGACCAAATATCTGATGCTAATTTATGAGATTGATATATTTTTGACAAATTATTGTCATACTTATTTTTGGCGCTATTGACAATAGGATTAGAGGATGTAGCATTATCGACGTCATCATCATCACACTTCCTTCCATTACCTCCACAACCATCATCTATATCTGTGGATATATTTTGTTGAGTAAGTGGATTCAACACTGAATTGTAAACCAAGTTGGATTTAGAACAGTTTGGTGATAATTGACTCTCCCAATCCATTTGACACGAAGAATGAGATTTATTTACTGGATTTCTATGCTGAGATTCAACAATATTTGACTGAACTGGAATTGAAGATGAAGCTTCCTGACAAAGTTTTACAAGTGCTGACAATGCTGTATTTTTCAAAAATATATAAACAAGAAGAGGAAGATAGAAAAGATTTAATTAATTGTATGATTGGCAAAGGTGATGACTTGCCAAAAAAGACCATCAAAATCAGTTTAGTTTATGTTATTATTGGAACAAATACTTTTGTTTAAACTGTGTTGTACTTTTTTCTTCCTGCCTGAAATTTCTCAAGAAAATATTGTCCTACTGAGTGACAAACCTTCCTTAAAAGTGAAAATCGATTTGGAGTAACACATGAACAGATAGAAATAATTTACGTATAGAAATAAACTATATCCTAACAATATCCGGCTCAAATCTTAATCCACTTACTTCATCAAGGAAAGTTAGCGAGTATCCACAAGTTCTCTTACAAACATTATGGTTTAAAATTGATTACATACACCCGGTTACTTGGTAGATGAGTTACACTAATTAGTTAAGACTGGTATATGACATTGTAAGACTGGTTTGATATAATTACAATCAATTCTTCTATATGTGTAATAGACAATCACATGATCTGTTAACTTAATTAACATAAAATGAGAATTTCTCTTGGTGGAAATGCAACCAATATATTTAGTGAAACAAAACAAACAAAAAAGTTTATACTTTAAGAATTTAGTTACTGATATGTTTACATATACACTTTCATATAAAATTTCCAATGATCACACCACAATAAGACATTTATTTAATAGAAGAAAAATGTTTGAAAATATAATTAAAATTGTCTCTTGATAATTAATATAATTATTGTTAATAGACATATGAATTTAATAGTATTTGTATATATCGGTAATCTAATTATCATTATAAATATACAGATTTGTTAATAGATGCATCTATTATTTAACTAAATAACTATTGTCATACAGGTAATGATGGATCGTCCACGGGATCGTGGATGCGCACTGCTGAGGAGTCCCATACTAGGACGAAACGGTCTTCCAGTGCTTCCAGGTTTTCCATGGTAGTCTAGCTTCAATTGACTCATGATTTTAACTATTAAAATTTTTAAAAATCTCCACAAAACCCCTTCTGATAATTATGGATATTAGTAACAAAGCAGAGGTTTCTGTAATAAAACATAAGACATTTTTGTCATATTGAGACAGGATATAAAAAGTGCCAGTTGGAGTAGGCAATGAGGTTCGAAGTTCCTTGAATATCTAATACATATACATGTTAAGGGGTGGAGAAAAGGATAAGCGTAGATAGGATAGTGAACTGCGAACAATCATTCTATCAACAGCCCTAACAATATGCTCTTCCTATTTACAAATAAGAAAAATATTTTGGTGTTTTGAGTTCGCTGAGACGAACAGTTAAATTGCGAAGCCTTCATTGTTGTTCTGGAAAACATCATCAGTGCAATCCGTGCTGAGATATTCATGTATCATAATGACAATTGGGAATTGAAAAGTGCTACAAAACTTTCTCAAGAGGGATAGAAAATATTATCTTATGCGGATAAAATTAACAGCTAGAATTCGAAGCTAATGGGTCGTCTCTTATACAAGTCAATGACTCAGATTTAATGAATTGTACCGTATTAAGAATGACGATAATAGAAATATGTTCTCATTTATTTTACTCATCACTTAAATAAATAAATAATACAGAGCAATACAAAAAGAGATGGCTTAGTGATTAAGGCGTTCGAGTTTTAAGCACGAAGTCCCCAGTTCGAGGGCCACTTCATCTGCTTCCATTTGAGCATCCCGATAGTATCGTTAGATCTCACACTTAGTGTGGTTCATGCCTAAGTACCGGGTGAATGAGTTCAGTCAAATTGATGAAAAGCATGGGGAATGAAGAATATTAGTTGAAAAATGTCTTTATATCTAATCAACGATTGAATAGTAAACGCTAGACAGCATGATAAAATTTTTCCTTAATGAATATTGAATTCATGTCTAGGAGTCATAAAGTGAGAAAAAGTGGAGGTAAAAATTGATGAATAAGTTTCAAGAATATGGAAATCTACATGTTATATACCTGCATGATAATTCACATTTGCACCAATTTCGGAGAAAGGAAGGTATTCTTCAAGGTGCCTTGAATCACCTTCACGATAATGAACTCTTTGTGATTGATGATAAGAATCTGTGTCATTTCCCAACTTCTATAATTAAATAAGAGCAGAGACAGATAACACATATAAAAATTATATAGATATAATCTATGAGCACATTAGAATGACTGTAAGTAACCGCTGGTGTTCTATATATCATGGGAATAAATATCAATTCACATTACCATGAATTCAACGGCTTGTGACATATAACTCTTAGGTTTACATATTCGTTGCATACAAAAATCTTATAATCCAATTTTTGTTATAAATTAGTATTTATTTTTTGACGTTTAATGTTAAAAATGCCACCCAACTGCTCAAAACATAGTTGACAGAGCGTTACGTAAATCTGTAGCATAGCAACGACTGAGAAAACAACGGGACAGTCACCTACAAATGTATATGTATATGCACACAAATAAAAGTAAAGTACCCATAAATAGACTAAATTGTCATACAGTAAAGAAACTGAATTTATCCACAGAATTAAATAAATACATTTAGTTAAAAATAAATCAATAATGACTGAACAAGACAGTAAAATATTGGTAAAAAGACCTTGATTGGTTTCAAAGCTTATTTTCATCACTAGCTCACAATATTTGGAAAAATTTTTAAATCAGTTTAGAGAAAGCCCATAAGTCTGTAGCGCTGAAGAAAACGAAAACCAAGGCAAAACAGTTGCCTGATTGACTCTGATTTACAATGTTTCTTCAACTGACGTTATTTGATAATGCAAATTACCTAGGAGACATTCGGAATTATATAAATGACCTATAGACAATAAACTGTAAAAAATCACTAGTATGAAATGATGATACTACAATACAAAGACCACAAACATCAGTGAATTACCTTTAGCAAAACTACAGTCAGAACAAATCATTGCTAAGGTAACTTGAATATGGTTTAGTCCTCAGATTCGTTTATTGTCGTGCAAAATAACGTAGACATTATATGATGAATTTGAGTCACTGAAATGATTTTCAATTAAGTGTAATGTTTTGTAGACATGAATTTGTCCTGTGAGCACGATACCCATTAAGTCGGGATCTAATGATTTACGATCCCAATAATATAGCACAAAAAAAGTTCAACGCCACTGATGATAATAATATTACTACAGATATGGTGGAACTCTTCAGAACGTAGGTAATTATGAATATTGGCATGTTGAATAAGATTGATGAGGTTTTTCTAGAACCATGTAATGTGAGACAAACATATATATTCTTTGTGTAATATTGACAAACACAATTGCATATTAAATAAACACGAATATATATATATATATATATATATATATATATATATATTACATAGTGTAGAGTTGGATTTCATTGTCTTAGTAAACATATTGATGTTCAGACAATATACATAAATCACATAAAGAACTATGAAGTCAATTATGCCGCAGAAACCTCTTGAATTTTACAATGAAAAAAAAGCACAACATACAAAAACATTCAAATATACAAGAGCTCCGTATGCTATTAGACATAAGTAATAATTATTACACTTTTGATTACCTAGATGTGATATTTTGATTTATATGCTTTACATCGGAACTATGCCTACAATTTATATACAATTTTCATCCACTGCAAAATGCAGTAATAAATTAGAATTGAACATTAGCTTACAAATATTAATTCTATCTATTTATAATCTGTGATAATCTATAAAATAATTTCCTGTTGTCAACTGAACTTGGAATTCTACAAAACGAGGTTTAATAATGAACATAAATAGGACTTTCTAATCTGTTTGATATCAACGAATTCGTTGATAAAAGGTAAATTAAACTGCATGTCCATAGTCAAATAGACAGCAGAAACTATGATTGTAAGCAAATAAGCAAAGTCTAATTTTTTCGGTGAACACATAAAGGATATGGCCATCAAGAGGCCAAAGTGGAAAGGCTTGAAATTCCTCTCACTAATAATAATAATAATAATAATAATAATAATAATAATAATAATAATAATAGTTTTGATCCGTCTAAAGTATGATGTGTTACATCAGATTACCGTACTTCCCTAGAACAATCGGTAGGTACGCACACATGTGTGAACAAAATTATTCGGAGTTTTAGAGCATGAAAAGTTTCTTTTTCGAAAAAATCGATAGTTATTTTATTGACGGATATCACTGAAATACGAATCAGTGAAAAATATCTTTCTAGATACTGATAACAAACTAAGTTGAATAAATTTCTATCTCATGGTTTTTGTGATGAAGCATTTTGGATTTGTATTTACCATCCAATAGTAAACATAGTTAATTCCTACAAATACTCTTTTATTGTTAATGTGATTAGAAACGACCTTGATGTAATCTGGACAAGTTCTATATTCAAATTCTGTTCAGAATGGTTTCTAGCAGATTAAGTATGGATAAAAACTCAGAAGATCTGTTTAATGAAAAAACATAGTTACAATAAAATTAAGTTTTCTCTACGATAAAAATGTGTTCAATAAGCCAATAAAGTATAACATTTGCATGTTCATACTGAGTCTAATTAGCATCTATCAATATAACGTTAACCATTTCTAAGCGGTTATTTAACAGAGTGACCTATTCGTTTATATAAGTACAAAGTCAGATAAGTAATGTTCATTGTGAGTTTTGCTTAGTGAATTAAGATAAAAAAATGAATGTAACATGGTATTAAATTGTTTTTTCTGTCAGGCATTCAAATTTACGTTGTGTCCCCCCCCCCCAAAAAAAAAGACCAGCAGTCAACTAGTATCCCAAATATAAATATTATCACTGAGCTACTTAAAATATAAGTGGCCCTACTGTAAGATTAAGAATTTCATATGAATCGATAACCATATAGTAAATAATGTTGTAATATTATTATTTTAAAACTAAAAACTGATAGAATATAATCCAATTTAAATCTTTTGTTTTCTTATGTCTGTATTTTTAAAGTTGTCTAATAATAACCTTTACATTTAACTAAATAAATCAAATAACTTTCAATTAACAGAAATGAAATAAAATATAGTACATCACAGATACTATAGGGTAACGAAAGCTATTTACATAAAGAATGTAATTCTTTCTTAAAAATTAAACTTTGAAACTATGTAAATTATACATTTCAAAATGAGAATTTTTCGTGTGTGTAGGCGATTTCAGACATCTTGACGGCCAAATATTTAAAAATAATTCACATTTTAACAACAAGAAAGTTTATCATGTATTGAAATAATACTAAACAGCTGAGAGAGGACAAAACGATCATAATAACGAGAGCAGATAAAGGTAATACTACAGTTATTATGAATAAAACAGAGTATGAGAACAAAGCCAAAGAACATCTACAAGAGGGTCCATATGAACAAATCAAAGAAGCGAAAAGTAGAACTACTCTTAATAAACTCAAGGCGCAAACTAGCAAACTCTTACAGTCATTAAAAGCTAAGCTAGGATCGTCCTTATGGTTTATGTTATATCCAAAGAGTTGCAATCCATGCAGATTTTATGGGCTACCAAAGATCCACAAGAATAATACTCCACTAAGACCAGTGGTAGACTATACAAATTCACCGACTTACAATCTAGCTAAATATTTAGCTAAGATTCTCAAACCATATGAAAAACGAATTAATCATGGAATTAAAAACTCTATGGAATTCAAGAAGTTAATTGATACCATCGATATAGAAGAGGACGAAATAATGGCAAGTTTTGATGTATCTTCCTTATTCACTAATGTACCTATCAGTCGAGCTATGGATATTATCAATGATTATTTAGAATCTGATTTAGATTTGAATTTACGATGCCCATTAGATCCATCAGAGGTTATAAAATGCTTAGAATTATGTTTAAGATCTACCTTATTCATATTTCGAGGTCAACTTTACAGACAGAAAGAGGGTATAGCAATGGGCTCACCAGTTTCTCCGATTGTAGCGAATTTATTAATGCATTCCCTAGAAACTAGTGCAATCGCAAAGAGTTTATGTCCACCAAAGTTATGGTTACGGTATGTAGACGACATTTTTATTATCAATAAACGGGATGGTATGCAAGAACCATTTAACAATGCAAACAGCATTTCTGAAAACATTAAACTAACTAAGGAATTAGAATCAGTTGACCACAAACTAGCATTTCTAGTTTGTCTGGTTGAACGTCGACACAATAATAAGAAGTTAAAAATAAATGTCTACAGAAAATCAACGCATTCTGAGAGATACTTAGATTTTAATTCAGCCCATTCACAGAGCACGAAAATTAATGTGGTAAAAAATCTAATGAACAGAAGTACTAAGATTGTTACAGACAAGGAAGACCAACGAACCGAATTAAATAAAGTGTTTTCTACTCTTAGGGATAACAACTACCCAAAAAGGTTTTTAAAAAAGATTATTAAAAATGAAAGAAAAACTAAACTAGAAAGTATACGAAAAGAATGGAAGTACACCGTAGTCATACCTTACCGGAGTGAAACATCAGAAGAAATCAAACGGATTCTAAACAAACATGATATAAGAGTGTATTTTAGAGCAAATAACACATTAAGATCGACATTGGTGAAAGTTAAGGATAAGTTAGCAAAGGAAGAACAACAGAACATTGTGTATGAGATTCACTGTCATGACTGTAATGCTACCTATGTTGGAGAAACATCCAGGCAATTAAATGTAAGATTGAAGGAACACAAACAATGCTTGAAAAATGTTCCAAAATCCTCGGTAGATTTAAAGAAACTTGAAAATAAGTCGGCGATAGCGTTACATGCGTTAGAAACAGGACACAAGATTAATTTTGAAGGGACCAAAATACTTCAGAAAGGTTTTAACACCCATAAAGAAAGATTGACAGCAGAAGCTCTGCATATATGGGCAAACAAGAACAGCCTGAACCGAAAAGATGGTATTCAAATGGCAACTACCTGGCAAATTTCGTTTGACAAGTAAATTTGGAACCTATCTCTTGTTTAAACCTGTTTTTAATATCACATGCATCGTTATTATTATTGAAAGAACTGAATGAGTTTCTAAACAATACAATTTATGTTTTGACATGCA